GTCTCTGGTGTAGTTCAAGGAGGCAAACGAGTCGACGACTCACCCTACTTCACCAACCAGGACGGACACCCTTTCCCAGACCCCGAGCACAGCAAGACCATTGGAGGTATCCCTCTCGTGAGCGACATCTTCTTAATGCAGAAGCAGCAGACCTTCAACCGATCCAAGAACCTCGAGCGCATGGTCCACCCTTGCGGAAGCGGCGCATTCGGATATTTCGAGGCCACTCATGAAGTGTCAGATCTCACCGTATGTAAACCATGAGCAGCAAACTGCTTTTTTTTTGTTGAATTTTTCGACCATGTACTAAATGATAGTAGAAAGCAGACTTCCTTCAGACTGTCGGAGAGAAGACGCCGATCTTCATCCGCTTTTCTACCGTCACTTTGGGTCGCGAGTTTCCAGACGAAGCCAGGAATCCTCGTGGCTTCGCCATCAAATTCTACACCAAGGAGGGCAACTACGATATCGTGGGTCTGAACTGGCCCGTCTTCTTCTGCCGCGATCCCATCCAAGGTCCAGATGTCATTCGCTCCCAGGCTCGACGACCGGATAACTTCCTCTTGGACTACGATGCGACCTTCGATCTCCTGGCCAACGTACCAGAAGGCAATCATGCCGGTATGATGTTCTTCAGTGATCACGGAACTCCAGTAGGCTGGAAGCACAACAATGGCTACGGTTGCCATACCTTCAAGTGGGTGAACAAGCAGGGCAAGTTCGTATACATCAAATACCACTTCCTTGCCAAGCACGGCTCCAAATACTTTACTGGAGAGGAAGCCGTCCGCATCTCCGGTGAGGATCCCGACTACAGCAAGCGCGATCTCTGGAAGACCATTGAGAAGGGTGAGGAGCTCGAGTGGACCGCCTACGTCCAGGTGATGCAGCCGGAAGACGCAGATCCGGAGAAGCTTGGATTCGACCCCTTTGATGTCACCAAGGTCTGGCCTCGCAGCAAGTTCCCGATGAAGCAGTTCGGTCGTCTGGTCTTGAACAAGAACCCGGAAAACTTCCACCGTGATGTCGAGCAGGCCGCGTTCTCTCCCGGGGCCATGGTCCCGGGTATCGAGGACTCGCCTGACCCACTGCTACAGTTCAGGATGTTCTTCTACCGAGATGCGCAGTACCACCGTATCGGTGTCAACTACCATCAAGTTCCGGTCAACTGCCCGTAAGTTCCCCATCAGAGATTGACACGAGCTTCTCAGCTTGACTGACTTCCACTAGCTTCATGTCCAAATCTTTCGCACCTCTGATGTTCGACGGCCAAATGCGTGTCGACGCCAACCACGCCGGCAACGCCGACTATGCGCCCAACAGCTTCGCCCACAAGTTCCGTCCTGATGCCGCCGAGGCGCCGTATACGGTATCCGACAACATTGTTGGTCGCAAGAGCCACTTCTGGCACGAAGGCAGCAAGACCGAGTACGAGCAGCCGCGTGAGCTGTACAGGCGCGTCATGACGGAGCAGGAGAGGGAGAACTTGCACAAGAACACTGCGAAGATGATGGCGTTCGTCAACTATCCTATCATCAAGGTAACTTCAGCCACAAGCCCTCACGTGCAATGAATCATCTGACAACGACAACAGAAGAAGTACCTCGCCCAAGTCTACAACATCGCTCCCGAGTACGCTCAGGGCATCTACGATCTCCTGTCCAGCCCCGAGTTCGAGATGAGCGAGGTCGAGGAGCTGTCGAAGACGGCACAGGAGTGGTACAAGGAGAAGAAGTTCCGGCCGAGCAACGGCGAGCGGCTCATGGGTATGCCGCCGGGACAGCCCGTTTACAACTACTAAGTCAGTAGAACGTAGATGTCAGTAGTGGCTACAAATTGATCTTTCCCTGTAAAACTTTTTCCGTCTTAGATCAATGAAGCTCAATTCCTTCCGTGTCATGAATTCATGGTACCGTTCTCACTTGCGATTTCCATGCGGAGAGCATTTTCGCCACCCGGCTTGGCATGCGGTGCGGGTCTGAAGGACTAAATACATACGTTGAGTGTATGGGCAGCATTGTGCGTTCCTTTCGGGCGTTTATGCCTGGTACCTCAGCTTTGCATGCTCGCATGGGTATTAACAGGTCGTCGGTGAAGGCAGTACTCAGGCGCCATCGGCTCAAAGCCTACGGAAGGCAGCCTACGGAAAGCATCCCGCACATGGCCCAATCTCTCTTCGTAACGTTTAGCCATTCGACAGAATGTGGATAATGATACTCACCAAGCCCACCTGAAGTGAGTGAGCCCGGCCTCTGTTCATGGTTACTTGTACTCCGCTCACCTGTATTGCAATCAACGAAGGACTTTGTGTTCCTTCACCGAGCGTACAACAACAACAACCTAGCTTCGAGACTCCGTGATTGCACTATGATGGTAATTTGAAGCGATATCCGGCCACTACCTAGGTCCCTCGGACAGCGCGCTCGCTCAAAAAGATACGGAGTCCGTCGGATAAAGGCTACAGGCTCACAGCGTGCTCCAACCGCCATCGACCGGGCTAATGGCGCCTTATCTACGTCGGCATGCACGACTGCAGCACACCAAGAGAAACATGACTTACCGTTCACATTGAGACTCGCGTCCGAAGTCAGAAACACAATCATCTCCGCCGCCGCATCCGGCTGCTGCAGCCCCTCGTAATGCTGCCCCAAGATCAAAATTCTGCACCGGCGTCAACTGCTGCAGCGACGCCACATCCGTCTTCTCCTTGACCATCGAGTCGCTGACCTTCGTCGCTCCGGGACTGGGACAGATGGCGTTGCAGCGTATGCCCTCCCACCTGTACCGCCACACCGTCTGCTTCGTCGCGCCGACGAGCCCGTGCTTGGCGGCCGTGTAGGTGATGCCGGCGGCGGCGCCCGACGTTTCGGCCTTGGAGCTGACGTTGAAGATGGTGCCAGACGTCTGCTTCTGCATGAAGGGCAGGACGGCACGCATCAGGTAGACGGGGGCGGTGAAGTCGATGGCCATGACGCGCTCCCAGTCGCGGTCGTCGAGCGTGTCGGCCGAGTTGAAGTTGTAGCGCTAGAGGGGAGCGTGCGGAATGGAGTTTACGTCCAAATCACTAGCAATCGTGATATGTGGATCCGTGGCATGGATTCAGTCAATGTCAGGCCACATATTGCGGGGTAACACGAGGCAGTGTCATTTGCATAGTATAGGAGTGAATCCGACAAGCGAACAATTCAGCCGTTCTTATAGCTGAGTCGCACAGGCTGTCGTCAACTCGGAAAAGGCTGTTGGACGGTGTTTTGTGCAAGCTCGAAGCGTTTCCAACCACCGGCTCACGCTCGGATCTGTCGGCAGACCCGTAAGCTTCAATCCCGTCCTCGGACAGTAGCAGTCCTCAAGTATGAAGCATGCTGTCGACGTGCTCAGGCCTTGGGAAGTCTTTCAAGAACGCCTGTGGCGTCTCTCACGAACTGGCCAGCCCGCAAGACCGCCAACAATGTCCAGACTTCAATTTCGCAGATAGCGTGCCTAAACTTCTTGGACATAATTTATGCAAGCTCGAGGCAAATACAACGACTGGCTAACCCACGGAATCCGCCGGCAGTCTTCGAGTCTGGCGTACAGGGACGACGTGTCTGAATCCGTGGGCAGTTCTTTGTGCAAGCCAGAGGTGCTAATTACGAGCTGCTAATTACGAGCTGCTCTGAACTCTCGAGCGAGCTTCAGGCCTCAAGCCAAACGGTGTAACCAGCTGTGCCTTGATGCTATGAATTGTAACGGGGTGGCTTTAAGTGTCTCCCTGTGACACGTGGCAACGTGCCTGTATCCAACAGCCTCATGATTGACCCTAAACAAGATCTATAGTGTTGGGGGGTGGGTAGATTGAGAGCGAAGCCGTAGAGCAGACTAGCAAGAGACCGCGAGCAGAGGCACCAAGATGCAGCATTCTCTCGAAGATTGAAGAATTTCTCGAGGGAAGTGTCAGATCCAGAGAGATGCTTGGGCGAGGCATCATGGTCACAATCAATGAAGAACGCCCTTGTCATACTCCAAGCCCGATTTGACAATGACGTCCCATCCGGCGACCTGCACAATCTCGAAGCGTAGAGGCTCCATGTCGCTTGTGGTTTTCATATTCCCGCACTTTGTATCTTCGAAGATGGATTACGGACTCTGGAAAAAACCGAAGGATATCATGAAGCAGGTTAGTATCTGTTCGTCCTGACGAGTCAAGCAATCCCTTCAATCTCCTACCATACCATAGGTCGGCCAAACAGAAGACATTGCGCAGAGATGGCGAGAACACCGCTTTGCCCGGAATTCCCAAACAGAAACTGCTGCATGCCGCATGGAAGGAAGAGAGACAGCATGTGGAGAGCCATCTACACGGGCGGCTCAGACGCCTTGATGCTGGGCAACATTGTCTGAGGTTTGCGGCCGGGCGCTTGAGTAGTACTTGTGTTGATTGAGGCTCATACCAACGTCTTGTGCCGTTCGCTAGACCGCGCACTCGAAGGACGCTGATGGTGTTCGCAACCGTTGACTACGCGAATGGGCAGAGGGGTACCACCTCGATCAGACGGTCTGTATACATGAAGTTTTCGATAGGCGAAACTCGACTGCAAATTTCTAGACGTTCCTGCGTGAGATACTGTTGTGCCTGTAAAGTTGCACCAAGGTCAAGGTACTCCGTATGTGTCTCCATGGCAGAAACGGAGCGGCCGGTGCTGCATAACAACGCAGCGACATAGCAGAAATAGAATCGAGAAGAAGAGGGATACTTCTGCTGATTGTACAGCCAAGCTCTTGACAGGTCGGATCATCGGTCGTGGATGTGAGGTAAGTTTGATGTTCTCCGGTCACGATGAAGGATGATGGGTTTGATGCGAGGGCGGGGCAAGTCTTGGCGGCCAAGGAACCCGCCGCCGCAGCCTCGAACCTCACCCGCGCTTCTGCAACACCAAAAAAAAACTCGCCCAGTTCGTGCCAGACAAAGCTACCACCCTTTCAGTCTTTTCTTTCGACATTGGAGATACAAAAAGACAACTTTCCGCGACGGGGAATCGAACCCCGGCCACATCGGACCGAGAATCGTACCAATTCTTAATCGATACGAATGCTGAGAGCGATGTATCCTAGCCACTAGACCATCGCGGATGTCCCAGGTTTTTAACCTGATTTGGCAGGAACCACTTTATTTCCACTTATAATCAGTGCATTGACCGTGTGTCGGTCGCTCTTACTACCCTTTGACACTCCAATCTGGTGACCACCAGAAAGTAAAAAATCTTGACAATCACGGAGACGACAAGAGCCACTCCATGACGAGAGGTGACAAAAGGTCGTCAATTATGAGCAAGTTGTAAGAGGCAGTGAATGTAGGTAATGCTTCCACGACTTTTGATTCTCTATCTAACGTTCTGGCGCGCCGTTGAGGGCACCTTTCCTGGGGTATCACAAAGCATCATATACATCGTATAAAATCATCGTCAGGTTGAATTTGGACGCCCCGTAAATGCTGCTTGGTCGTTGAAGAACTGTTGGCCTTCCTCTTCGCTGTGCATGTTGAACCAGCCCAACACAACTCATCCTAATACGCCCGTTTGCTCCGGTCAAATGCAATGCAGATTCAAATGCTTCGGGACTGTGTTGATACAGTCGTCAAGTTCCGACCATGACCAATCTCTAGTGCTTCTCGCCGTTGGTGTGGCCGTCCACCACACCCGTTCCATTGATTGGGCGCATGGGCTTCTCCATGTCTTTGACACTCATACCGTCGAAGAGCTTGTAGATACCGTCGTTCACGTGAAAGTCATTATGTACTGTACTGACATTAGCATAGACGATGTTAGTAGCAGTAAGAGAGACTCACCAATATTGACCAAGTGCCAGGTATCCATGATGTTGTCAATCAGATACCGGGATGGACTCGCAGAATCGTAGCAAGCCGCCCACTCTTGACCCAGCTGGAAGAACTCATCTTTCCAAGCCAAGAAGCTCACAGTCTCTACGATAGTAGGCTGCACAATCTCCTTGCCCGGAAATACGCCCCAAGTCACAGCATTGGGTCCGTCACCGGGTGTGTTGGTCTTCAAATCTCCATGCTTGTTGACTGCGTAATACGTAACATCCGGATCCCGCTCGATGCGAGTAATAAGCTCTGAGATGAGCTCTGGCGAGACAAAGACCTCGAGGTACGCCTTTTGGTAGACGTACCCGTTCCGCGGACCCCAACCGTACACAGGATGGGACGACTTCACGCCGTCAACTGCCGGCTGTGAGTTGATGGTAAGAAGACCGCGCTTGTTCAACTCCGTCAGATCGTCCTTGATGGCATTGGCTTCGCTTGTGATCGGCGCTTCACTCCATGGAAGTGTTTCGACTTTGCCTTGCATGTAGCTCACGAAGAGATCAGAAACATCCTTGATGGACTCTGGCTTTCCCCAGGTCTTGATGTTCTGCTCGTTGGTGCCCTTCAATCCAATGCCGTAAGCATCCATGTCACCGAACGCTGGAGATCTCGAGTCACCCCAGCGGCCGTTCGGAAACTCATCCCAATCCTGGGTACGTGCAACATACGACCGATTTCGGTTTCGCCAGAAGATCGGTCGGACGTTCTCGTCTCTTCTGTTAAGTCCGAGGGACTGTCTCCAGGGTAACGGCTTCTCTAGCGGAGACTGTACGTCAGGAAGAAGGTTGAGCTCTTCCAGGACCATACGAGTCGCCTGCGCTAGATTCATGGTATAGAAGTGTAGATGAATGACACCCACTGCCAACAACTTGCGGCAAAGCTCTGCTACCAAACCTTTGCCAATCTCCCTTACAGCAGAATCATCATTCTTAACGGGCTCCAGCGCCTTGGTCCAATCTTCAGGAATCTTGCAGTTCATCCACTGGGCTCGTCTTAGGAAAGCGGCGTGCGTCTGGATGGGCATGATACCTGGAACGATCGGGACATCGATACCAGCGTCCCGAACCTGGTGATACCAATCTATGAAGTTCTCTGCGTCGTAGAACATCTGCGTCACAATGAACGTTCCTCCGGCATCAATCTTCTCCTTCAAATGCTCCATGAGCTGCGGACGATCTTTGTTATCATCGCATCCTTCTGGATAGCCTGCAACTCCAATGTCAAAATGATTCCCATACTGCTCTTTGATGTACTCGATGAGGTCTTTTGCGTATCTGAAACCGCCCGCTGTTGCTTGCCACTTCTCTTTCTCTCGAGGCGGATCTCCGCGGAGCGCCAGTATGTTCGTACATCCAGCATTATAAGCTTCCTTGAGCGCGTCATCGATCTTCGACTTCTCCATGTCCGTGCAGGTGAGGTGCATGCATGTCTCCAGTCCGTACGCCGACTGAGCCACCTTCACCATCTCGCAAGTGAGATGGGCATGTCGCCCACCCGCACCCCAAGTAACATCAATGAACGACGGCCCCATCCCGTGCATGCGATCCATGCGGTCGTACAAGTTCTGGACGCCCTGAGCGGTTTTCGGTGGGAAGAATTCGAATGAGTAGGTGGGCTTCTTGGCCTTCTCGGCCTCGGCCAGTTTTTCTGAGATATGCATGATGGCGGTATGGAATGAGGAATGTTGGTATGAAAGTAAAGAAAACGCTGTAAAAAGAAGCTGGTCAGTTTAGCATGCTCTTCAGCGAAGTCGGCGGCGAGCTCGAACAGGGACACAACCCACCAATCTCTCAAACAGAACTCGTACTTCGAACCGCCACACTCTGGATGCTCCTTTAGGCCAATTGCCTGCTATCCGAGATAACGTACCCGGGCCCACCTGTCTGCAAGTTGTCGCAGCATGAACCACAGGCGAATATGGAAAAGAAGAGAGGGAGAAAAAGTCTGCAGAAAAGATGGAAATCGACTACGTTACGAGTTGACAGACCAAGCTTTCATCCCACCTGTAACCTGTGCCACCCTGCAAATCCGAGACTGCGGGCTGCGGGGAGACTATGCACCTCCGTCCCGAAGATTAACCGTAACCGTAGCATAGGCGCGTCCAAGTCACGCGTTTTGACGTCCATTTCTCTACGACTGTGCTACTTCAGCTTGAAGTGTCACAACGCGCCTCTGAATTTGACCACGTTCGACAATGAGGCGCCCGAAGTACTATCCCTCCCATTCAAGCTCATCTCCAACCAAATGTCAACATGCCTACCAATTGGATCAAACACGCCGTCTCCCAGACACCTACAATCATCACTGGCGACGATCTCGTCCAGGTTGATGAAGGAAAGTTGAGCGAGTATTATCAAAGTGTCAAGCTGCTATCACTGCTGCGCTCCAGTGTTCTTCCAGACACTTTGAAAAATCGACTCCAGAATTCTGGTCCTCCAAAATACTGTTCAATACTGGAGGAGGCGATCTCTTCTGGCAATTTCATGGACACTGGATGGACCGATGAATACTACCACGCTGCCGAAGAGGTTTCCTTTCGCACGCGAGGCTATCCCAAAGCTTCCAGAGCACAATGGCGATCATTGCAAGACGCAATCCGCGAGCAGGAGTACAAGGAGTGGAACGAAGAGCCCATTCAAGAAAGTGCCAAATCCAAGCCAAGTCCTCCTCCGGCACCAGCTCGGTCACGCTACTTCCTGGACTTACCAAGCGAGATCAGAGACCAAATTTATCGCCACCTTCTAGTCCGCGAAAACATCTCCATCGGCGACTGGCAAGTGGAATGGCTAGAATCTCAGCCCAAGAACCGCTGGCTCCGCCGTACAGAGTACGATGTCTTCGACGCCAAAACCCGACACAAGCGGCGCACAACCTACACAGTCCGTTCCCTCGGTCGACAGCTCTTCATCTACACAAACATCATGCGCGTGAACCGGCAAGTCCACGCCGAAGCCGCCAAAATCTTCTACTCCGAAAACAAGTTCAACTTCCTCGGCACCGGCGACTCCGCCCTCGCCTTCTTGCACGACCGCGCCTCGAAATTAGACACCATCTCCAAGATCTCCGTCCGCTTCATGACGGACCCGACGATGCGGTTCAAGGGCTGCTACAACTGGACCTGCAAAATCTTCGCCCCGCCGCGGACCTTCATCGGCGCATGGCGTCGCATCTGCAACGTCTTCGTGCATTCTTCCGTCGGCCTGCAGGACTTTGAGCTCATCCTCGACGCGAGCTTCTGGCTCGAGACCGATTGGCGAGAGCAAGGCGCCGAAGCTGTGTTCGCGACGCCGAGGTTGTGTCAGCCGGAGAGCGCGCCGTGGCGGGAGCATGACAGGAATTTCTTGCAGCATGCGGCGAGGCTGGGTGGTGTGAATCTTCGCTTGACGATTGAAGGGATCGAGGGGGATAGGGAGAAAGACGCGTTTAGACGCGCGCTGGAGAGGAGGATGCAGGAAGAGACATTTGGTAGGCCGTGGTTGGCGGAGGACAGCAAGCCGGTGTGTACGTGTGCGAAGAGGTTGTTGAGTGAGAGTTGTATCTGGGATCGGGAAGGGAAGATGAGGCGGATGAATGGGGCTTACTGAATGCTGAATGGCAGATGAATTGAGCTTACTAGTGTTGGACGGCAGGCTCGCGTCATTAGCAGACAACTCCTTGAGAAAGCTTCCTTGTCAAAGCATCGGATGTGGATGGAATACACAGCTGGATATGGTAGCATTATAGACCGTGACGCACCTAGCTATCAACCATCCTCTGCGCCTCCAGCTGATCCTGCACTTCCTCGCGTGCCCATCTCCCGTCCATCCTGGGCGGCGGCTCATAAAGCTTTGTGTAATTGACCCTCTCCCCACCCAACAATGCTTCGCCGTTCTCCTTCTCCCCGAATACTGATCCCGGCTCGCACCAAAAGTCTTTGCAGTTCGACATGATACCTCTGTTAAATGGATTCGATCTTGCCTGCCGCTGTACCTCTCCTGCTCTCGATCCGTGCAGTGCCGTCATAACGAAAGTATCGAGACCAAGCAGTCGCTTCCATTGCGTCCAGCAACCTTCTTTCTGTTGCCGCCGGGAATGGTGGTGTGGTGTTCCTGGAGTAGGTCCAGCGTCGGCTCCGGTGACCTGGGCATCTTCCATAGACGTCGAGCCAGTGGTCACGAAGGAGGTGAGGGCATCGCCAGCGCCGTGGCCATGCCCGTGACCCTTCATACTTTCGTATGTAGTCGTTGCGCGCGCAATCTGCACGAAC